AGTGGCCATCGCGTTGGAGAGCAGAGGGCAGCAAGTTACCACCACTGCAGAACGTTCCACTGCACAGCGCTAGGGGATGAAGGCCTGGCTGGCCGGCTTCTCAGCAAGCAGGGAGGGGCCCCATCCAGGCTGGGTGGGGGGTCTTCAGCAGGGCTGGGAGCCCCCAGCGCGCCTAAGCTCAGGTAGCAACCCTAGGGAGGTGCTGGAGAGGAAGCAAGGAGGGCACCCTAGATCTACCTGAGAACAGCGCCCCCTCCCACCTGGGGCAGCTGCAACAGCTGAGCGAGGTCTTCAGGGCACTTCCGGGGTGGGGGTGGGGAGAAGGGGGCAAGTAAGTGCCCTGCTTCTCCTGGGCCTGTCTGCAAGCACAGGGGGCTGGGGGAGCCACCCAGGCTGTGCCCTCACACCCTGGGCCCCCCCCCCCAAGGGCAGGTGGCTGGCCCCCCTCTCCCCCTCTCCTCCAGCTCACAGCGCACCGCCTCATCGCCCGCAGGCCTGAGATGGATGTGGAAGTTGCACGCTGTGCCTGGAGCTGCAGCCCACACCATCCTGGGCAGGGAGGCTTTGGAAGACATCGTAGGGCGTTAAGTCAACGGACTTCCTATTTGTCAGCACACCAAGAGCACAGCACGTTTTTTCGGCTCCAAAGGACTGCCCAGGTCAGAGTCTTCACTCTGCAGATCCTGCAGGCTGTAACCCTCTCAGAGACCAGAGCTGCATCTTCCAGAGGGGTGAGGTGAGGCTGCTGAGAAGATGCTATCGTGGGGAGACAAAGGACGGCCCCCTGTCCCTGCTGGGGCAACGCAGGGAATTCCAGGGCACGTCCTGTCACCTCCCTGCTCCCTGCGGGCAGCGCTGTCCCCACAGCTCTTTGCCCAAAGTCAGCTCTCCAGGACATCCAGCCCTGATAAACACCCCGCCCCGTGTCTCACCCCATCTGGGGTCACTTCTGACTGTGCTGCATGTGTGCCTTACGTGTTGATGATTGTCCTTAAGAAGCACCCAGATTGTTTAGTTCACTGTACTTTGAAAAGGGTGCCTGGAATACAGTGAGTGCCCAGCAAAAGTTTGTTAAATAAATGAACTTTTCAAGAAGAAGGGCAAATGGGAAATGTGCAGATCGGGTGAAATACAGACCCAAATATGGATTTTTAAGCAAAAACAAGTCTCAGCTTTATCCTAGTGGATCATTTTAGGTTCCATGACTGGGGAGGGGCATCCAGAGCTCCTCCCTGTGGACCCTGGTTGAACACCCCTCCCACAAAGCAGGCTCCCCTGCAGGGCTTCTGGCTCAGATCTCCCCAGCTTTGTGATTCTGCCCTCCCACAGAACATGCTATCTGTCACCAGTTTTGTTTTGGTTTTTTTCACTGTGACCCATAGACCAAATTGAGAAGCATCATCCATCTTACCTGAAGGTTTTGCCATCTCAGTCTTGAAACCGGAGAAGTCGTAAATAGGTTTTGCGATGGTAAAGGGGAAGCTTAATTTTTCATTCACCTCTAGCTAGTAACTGATGGGGAGGTCCTCCTTCGCTCCCAGAAGCAAAAGGGAAAAGAAAGGGCTTCCCAGGGACAGGATAATTTGTCAGAAAGTTATGAGAGAGCACAAGCAGGGCTGTATAGGAAGTGTGTATTGAATGATATGACACACTGGCTTCTAATTGCTGCTGCCTTTCTGATCAATAATACATGTTTTCAAAAAGCCTTCTGTTTGCATTTACACAATGGACTGTAACTACTGCAAAGGATCCATTAAGACCTATTTTAAAAAGTGCATTCGTAAAAACTTGTCTAAATCTGCATTACAAGGCAGATTATGAAACTGCCTTGGGAGATGTTTTTTCCAAAAAGCATTCAGGCCGTATCTGCCAGACTCGCCAATTCAAGCTCCCTGTTATTACCACGCTCACTCGTGAGCCAGGATGGGCCTTCTCTTTGGTGTCCTTGAGGCAAGAGGCGGGCACTGCCAGGCCTGAGGCCCCATCAGGTTCCAGTGGTACCCTCGGGCTGGGGACTCGGTGTGAGCAAGCCCCCAAAAGCCTCAGTGAGGCGTCAGCATGAATCAACCCACTGCTCCTGAATGTGTAAGTATACGCCCAGATAAGTGCTGCTGTGGCAGAGAGGACTCTGGGGCTCCAGGGTTCTCCCTCCTTTCACTGAGAAAGCTGCAGGTCCTATGGGGAGGGCCAGAGACAGGTGTTGGCTCCTACAGGCCGGTCTCACTGGCTGCCATCTCCATACAGGGTGTGATTCGTTACCTATACAAGTGGGGAGCCAGAGCTGAGGGCAGCAGACAGCTTGATGTAGGGACCACCTGCTTTCCGTGTTACCTTAGCAATGTCCACTGACCGCTTTGGCCTCGGCCTCAGCGTCACAGCTGATGGGAATCAATGGTGACAGTGACAGCTCATGCTGATTGCCGGGGACTCACCTGTCTTCAGGCACCTGGGGGGATGGAGCTCTGCCTTCCTGAGGCCCAGAGACGTTGCAAACATGCCGAGGTCACACAGACCACAGACCTAGCCAGGATACAACTCAGAGCACACCTTCAACCTTCACACAATGCCACTGCCCCCAGCCTACCACCCAGACAGCTCCTTGGACTTCAGAGGACCCTGGAAGAAGAGAAGAAAAAAGCTCATTTTCTGGGGAGCCAGAAACTGTGCTGATTCTGTCAATGCTTCATTTGGGTTCAGCCTCACAACACTGCAAGGCAGTTACTATATCGTTATTTACATGTTACAGATGAAGACGCTGAGGCCCCAGTGAGGCAGCTAGCCTGGTTCTTGTGCTGGGGCAAAGGAATGGAGAAGAGATTCTTGCAGAGAATGGGAGGGAAGGAGGGGAATGAGGAGAAGGGGAGAGCAGAGGAAGGAAGGGAGGAAAGGAAGGTGGGGCAGGAAATTCAAAGGAGAAAAACAACTCCATTGGGCGACCCATGGAAGGGTGAGTAGGGCAGAGTTGAGGTCAGGCCTTGTCTGAGTCTCACAGGGGTGTCTCTTACGGATATGCAGGACCCAAGGTCAGCAAGCCAAGCGCTTCACCTCTGCGCTCTCCTGGATCCTCCTCTGGTCAGATCTCTGGGCATGCACACGGGTGAGGATATGCACCCATATCCCTGTACGTGAACACAGGTGTATGCACATGTGGGTACAGGGCTACAACATATGAGGGTACAGGGGTACACATATGAGGCTCCCCAGACCTTTTTCTAAGAAGAGGGCAACGTCCCCACCATAGTGTCAGATGTCCTCTCAAGACCCCCGAGGGTGGTGGAGGAGAGTGGAAGGGCCTGAGGACTGAAGAAGGGACACAGCCTCAAATGGGCCCTTGAGGTGGTCACACGGAGCACAACCAGACATCCAGCCTGACCAGTGTCAGCCAAGGCTTGGCCAGGGTGGTCCCTGGGGGGGCACAGGGGTGGGGCTGGTTGGAAGAATGGGCCAGGCCACCCCTCTTCCTTCTGCATTCTTCTGCCACAGGAACCTGTTGGTAACAAAGAATCTCCCCTCAGGCCCTCCCTTCCCACTCAGGTCCCTTCCCTGTGCACAGGCCTGAATGTGCAGCCTTGGTAGTTGTTACTAGCACCAGAGGTAGGGCCTGTCTACACCCAGGGGAGTCCCCCACGGCCAACTCCAGCCCCATAAATCCAAGGGCTTGGGGCTCGGGGAGCGTGAGGCAGGCAACACAAGGTCTGGTGGCCGCAGGGTGGCTCTCCCGAGCTGGCAGCACTGTGCCCTGGCCTCCAGCCAGCAGGCCGGCTTGGACATCTCGGCCGGCAGAGTCCCCAGCCAGCCTGTCTTGGCAGCTCCTCCTCATGCCTGCGAGGGTGACTTCACTTTGACTTCATATCTGCAGAGTGATGTGCAGAGAGCCCTTATTCAGCCCTGAGCTCAGCCAGGCAAGAGGGCGGGGCTCTGTGCACAGCCATAAGAAGAGACATTGAAATAGGGGCACCCCAGGCGTAGGTACCCTGGACCCTCCCACCCCAAGGCCCCTTAGGCTTGCATTCCTCTGTGCCTAGGTGAGGGCCAGACCACAAAAGGCAGCTAGCGGGTGGGAGTAGAACAATGGACTTTTCCCACAGAGGCCTAGAGCTCACCTCCAACCTCCAGGACCCCCCGTGTTGGGGACCCAGAGTCTTCCCTTTTGAGTACTGGATGTGTTTATGGACATCATTTCTTGGGGCAAAAATTAAATTCTTTGGGGCTCCAGTTCCTCCTCGCTACTTGCTCTGCTAACCAGTCAGCCCCCCATCCTAAGAATTCTTCTGTTTGGTTGGGGAGAGGGAGTACCTACCCTCCAAGCACCCCATTAAAGCCAGCTTCAGAGTCAGTTTCCTGGTTTCATTGGTTGGACCAGTCCTAAAGAGGTGGGTTCACAAACTAACCCTAGGACACCCCTAGAGCGACCGCGGACATTGGAAGCCACAGGCCAGGCTCACCCCTGGCGTGCGCAGAAAGCGCCCAGGTTCCCCTTCCCCCACCCGGGCTCTTCCCCTCCTCCCGCCTCCGGCCCCAAGAGAGGCCGCGCTCCCACCGCGCCTCCCCCCTCCGAGAAATGGCTGAGGATGCGCACCGCGCCCGGAGCCTGGAGGCGGGGCGCCTGCCTAGTCTCCACGTCCACTCGGGCGCACCCCCGCATCCCCGTGGTTTCCCTGCCCTCTCTGGGCGGCGGGGAAGGTCGAAGCGCACAGACTGAGAGCGGGCGCATAGAGTGAGGAAGAGTGGCTGTGCGTGCGGAGGTGCGCGGATTGGGGCTGCGGCTGGCGGGCCGGTACCCCGGGTCCCGCACCTCGCCCCTGCTCGCGCCCCGCCCGGCCCGCACCCCGCGTCCGGCACTGGTCTCCTAAACCGCGCCCCGCGGGAACCGCACCAGGCATCGCCTGGGCGGGTACCCAGTGCCCCGCCCTTACTCCCGCACCCCGCCCGCACCCGGGCCCCGCCCGCCCCGCCCCCTCACCGCCCCGCCCCGCCCCGCCTCGCTTCAGGCCCCGCGACCGGAGCCCGGCGCGCAGCTGCGGAGAGTACCGTGGAGTCCGCGCCCCGACGCTTTGCGCCCGCAGTGTTCGTCTCGTCCGCCGCGTCCCGGCCGGGCATGGGGCAGCCCGGCTGAGCGCCGCACCCCGCCGCCGAGACCCCCAGCCCAAGCCACCGTCCCTCTCGCCGCGGCTCCAGCGTGCACCGGCGATGGAGAAGGCGACGGCCGGCACCGTGGGGCTGCGGTTGCTGCTGCTGCTGCCGCTGCTCGGCGAAGGTGAGTCCTGCCGGGGACTGGTGCCCGCAGCGGCCGAGGCGAAGTTGGCACCGCGCGCCGAGCGGCTGAGTGGACGCATTCGGAAACGCCTTTCTGTTTGCGGCGGGCAGCGGGCTGCGCAGTTGCCGGCCGCCCGGGCTCGGCTGCGAGCGGGGTGGTGTGGTGGGCAGGGCGCCTCGGGCCCCGCGCACTGGGCGGGTCTCGGGCTGGAGCCGGACTCGGGTCGGAGCGGCACGCGGGCCGGGTGGCCGGGGTCGGTGCCCAGGGCCCTTGTCGCAGCCGCGCTCCCCAGCCTGGTGGCGCCTCGCACCACAGCAGCGTCTTGGAGCGAACCGAACGGAGCTTGTAGCCGTTTCGGTGCAGGTGGGGGAGGGCGGGTGAGGTAGCCCTAGAAAGTCTGCGACTTAGGCGGGGAGGAGTTGTGTTTCTGTCAAAGATTGCTCCGTCCTCGTTTCCTTGTCGCTCTACACGTCGGTGCATTCTTCCTCCAACTCTGATACCCTGGCTAGCCGCGGGATGCGGAGAGGATCTACTGTTTTGAGAAATGGTTGCTTTTCCCTTGTGCGTTTTTGCCGCTCTAATCCTTAAAAATTCCACAAGGCTGTGGTTTCTAGGGAGGCTGCCCTCGAGGGCCCGCTCGGACTGGCCTAGCGCAGCCGGCTGAGGGCCCGCCGTGGCTCCACTCCCACGCGCGGCTTCCGAGTCCCGCGCTGATGCCAGGCGGGGACACCTGAAGGTGCGGCCTTTGGGACCATTTGACGGCTCTGGGCCGACCTGTACCAAGCGCTTTTGACCATCCTGCAGTGAAGTAGGGCTGTGTGCCGCCAACATCGGTGCTGGGAGGATTAGATGTGGCCTTGCAAAGGCTGGTCACTGCCTCCACCCCCACAACCCTGACGGGATGAGTGAACCCCAAGGCCGTCGAATCTTTGCCCGCCCCCCCTGCCCACACACCACGAATTTTAGTTTCTCTCGAACTGTCCTTGACTTCCTCTTCTTCAGTACTCAGTATGCACCAAGTTTCCCTCTGAGAGAGGAGCTCCGGCCACCCTCCCCCTCTGCTTACAAAGGGCTTTCTCTCCCTGTGGCCTTTGGGAACAGAAGAGGTGGTGGTCCCCTGCGTCTGGCCCTGGGTCCCGCACAGACTCTGGGTTCCCAGGCCTGCCCAAGGCTTCATTTATGTGACTGCATCTTGAGCCCAAGAGGCAGATACTGAAGCTAGAACGGACCCCCAGCCCATCATAGGGAAGGCAGGGGAGAAACCCTTTCTTTGACCTGGGGAAGGATGGGGGAAAGCATCGGGAGTCTGGGGGTCCAGTGCTGTGAGGGGAAAACAGGCAGGAGGAGGCTGCAGGCAGGGCAGAAGTAAACACAAGGTGTTTAGAAGACCTCTTGTAACTCGGGGTTGCAACTTTGTAGTTGTGGGCGGGTGATCAGGTGTGAGCCTGAAGCCAGGGCGTGCTGGGCAGCCTCAGAAGCTTGTGGAGGATTTCCTGTGCCTGTCCCATGCTTAGCCAGGGGTCCCAGCTGAGGCCGTGGGGGTCTGGAGTTGGCGGGTAGGGGTGCGAGGGCAGCCTGTGACACTTGGCGGGAATGCAGGTAGCTTCTCCACAGCCTGGACGCATGGAGTTGGGTGGTCAGAGAAAGGCTCTCCAATCCAGGGAAAGCAAGTCCCCTGCCTCGCCCACCCTCCCATGGGATGAGCAAGAAACCACGATTGGTGGCACTGGGGGTTGAGAGGTGACCCCGCGATACCCAAGAGGAGACAACGGGCCCGTGGAGAGGCCTGCGGGCACCCTCTACCCGGAGTAGCAGTGCCGGAGCTGTTGAGCCTGGCTCTCAGTGAGCTGCTGCAGGCCGCCACCCGTGAGCTGGGCCGCCGCTCCCACCCAGACTCGACCAGGCTGGGAGCAGCTCGGCCCCGGGGCGCCCTCTCGTGGACGCAGCCCTCCTGTGGCCAGGCCTGTTGCCTGGGGGATGGGCCGGGTCTCCAGAGGAGGAAAGCCTTCCAGTGCTGGCCCAGACACCTCCCCGAGACGGGAAGCTCTCTTCTGTGCTGGGGGACTGACGAGAAGGGGGTAGGGAGGCAACCAGATGAAGAGGCAGCGGCCGGGGAAGGGAAGCACTGCCCCAGGGCTGGTAGGGGTGGGCTCGAGGGCCTAGGGATGCTCAGAGCAAGGTCCTGGGGCGTAAACAGACCCTCCCGGTGTGCCCCCCTCCTCGTGTGGACACTCTCATTGTGTGTGAATGCACACACCTTCAGAAAAAGGTGCCGACCCAGACACAGACTCCCAGAGCAAGACAGGACTCCTCACCCACACGCTGGTACCCGTGTGAGTGCGCGCACGGGCCCCCCAACACACCCTCGAATCCACGCTCACACACACTCACTCTTGGTCATCACTAAGACACACTCCTGCCCTTTCTCAAGGATATGTGATTATGAGGGCTGTGGACACACACACTCGCGCAGCGTGGCTTGGCCCTTCCCACTCCACCCTCCCCCAGGGAACCCCACATGTGTCCCCCCACAGGGACACCTGCCCCTCCCTGCTCACACTCAGGAGCACAGCCCATCAACCCAGGGTATCCTGGAACCAGAGCTAAAGAACTTCCATCTAAAAGTTGTTCTTAGAAGTTTCTGGCCTTTTGCTGCTCCAGCGCAGGTACAGGCATCCCCGTGGCATGGATGAAGAAACTGAGCCCCAGCTTCTGGGGATCCCCCTGAATGTCTCAGGCTGACCCGTCACCCATCACCATCTCCCTGACCTCCAGCTGCTCCTCACCAGGCCTCACATCGCTCATCTTTCCGGCCTGGCTTCTTGGGTCCCTTTTTGCTCAGCACCTCTAGCCACAAGGAGAGACCTGCCCTCTCTGCGTGCACACCCTCTGGGCCTCTCACTGCCAGGTACTGAAGAAAGGAAAGCTGGCCACGACTTAGCAGCCCCCTCTCCAGGCTGCTGGGCCCACCCCTCTGCTGTTGGACCTGGGTTTGCCACTTTTGCCTGGACCGGCAGGTGCCAGAGCAGCCCCTCAGCCAGGAGGGCTGCTCTGCTCACTTCTTTCTCTCCCTTTCAGCCCCTTCCCTCTTTGGCCAGAGATGAGTGCTGTCCTGCTCCACCAGGCTTGCCTGGGCCCAGCCTTCTCTCTCTTCCGCCCTAGCCCACTAAGCCACTCTGGCCTCTGGGAGCTGCCTGTGGCCCACACTGGCTGTCCTGGGCCCTAGCAGAGTCCAGCCTACTCAGGGACCAAGGGGCTGGGTCAGCTGGTGGGCTTCTCAGGGTGGGGTCTGTGAGCAGAAAGCAAATGGGGAAGTTTATTGAGACCATTGCAAAATTGCCTTTATTCTGCAGAATTGCTTTAGGGACAGCTAAGTAAATCACTATTTCCTTGGTGGTGAGAAGAAAATGGGATGCATTCACCTAATGGGGAGCTAATGGCCTTTCAGCCAGGGGAGGAGAAAACTCATTTAAAATTATGGTATCTCTTAAACTGGAGCATGGGGTGCCAAGGGGAAGGGAGGGCCAGGAAGCTGCTGCTTCCCCTGAGGCCTTCCCGCCTTTGTGACTTGAGAGAGGACTCCTGCATCCCCTGGTCTTCACTGGATGAGGCTGATGCCAGCAGTAGCCACCCCCAGGCTCATGGCCTGCCGGTCCTGTCCTGAGCACTGCCTGTCTGCTAGCTCACTGTATCCTCCCGAAACCCTGAGGGATGTAGCCTTATTTCCCCATTTCACAGGTAAGGAAACTGAGGCTCCCACAGCCTGTGAACTTGAATCCATGGAGAGGACTTTATGTCTCCCCACTCGGGTCCTCTGGGCCCCTTCTCTGGGCCAGTGGCGGTGGGGACCAGGAGGGGTCCTGGGAGAGGAAGGTGGCCCTGAGCCCACTCACCCACTGGTGACCCTCCTGCTCGGGGCTCCAGGGGCCCTGGGGACAGCCTGGCCCAGGTCTGGGAGGGAAGTGTGCCACTGTGCTTCAGCACCTGAATCAGGAGCCCCTCTGGGTCTGGCTGATGCTCAGGTGGGACCGCTGCTTTAGCTGATGTCTGGGAGTCCTGCAGGTCTGGGAACTGCCACCAGCTGGGGTCTGGTCATAGCCAGCCTCAGGGGAGGGGCGTGTGTCCTCTGGTGTGGCAGGAAGAGAGGCCTCTGTGCTGGTGGTGTAGGCTGGGTGTGTGGCCCCTGCACCCACCCTCTGCCTGGGGACCCAGAACCCGACAGACGCTACTGTGCTGAGGAGGGGCTGGACTTCAGGGCACATGGGTACAACTGTGTCTCCTTGTCCAAGAAAGGGCCCTCCTGCCCGGGGCTCCAGGACAGACTGGGAGAAGAAAGTGCCCAACTGGGAAAAAGGCAGAGCTGGAGAAGTGCCCCCCCAAACAGTAGTGATGCCTTCTGTCCTACAGAAGTGGCTGCATTTCGGCTGTGGAACCCCTCCCCCTTCCCGTGGGTGTAGGAGGGGACGCTTCCTTGTATGGGTGCAGTGTTCAGGCTCAAGCCCCCGTGTCCTTTCCTCCTTCTCGTTTTTTCTTCCTTCTCCTCGTTTTTTTCTTCTTCCTTCTCATTTCTGCAGTTGTTTTTCTGAGTAACTCAACAGTGACAGTAACAGTAATAGTGATGGGCCCACAAACACTCCCCGAGGGACCACCTGCCGCCTGGGGAGCTTCTCCGGGGCTAGGGATGCACTCCGGGAGACAACGGAAGGTCCCTTTGACCTCAGAGCTGTCTCCCTGTAGGGAGAGATGGGCAGTAAAGGAGGCCCTAAGTAGCCACTTATCTCAAATGTATGGGTGTGATTTCAGACTGAGATACACGGCAGGAGGCCAGCTGAGGGTTAGGGTGGGAGGGGATGGTGGGCAGCCAGGTGGGGAAGTGGCCCTCCTGGCCCTGGGCCACAGGGGTGTGATGGCAGCGGGGGTCATCTTTTGCCCTCCCCCCCCCATTTGCCTCCCCTGGGTTTTCAAGGGCCCATCTTCCACGCCTTCTGGGTGGGGGTCCT